CCAAAACCCCCAAAGGCCAAAAACAGGGGAGCTGAAGCCACAAATTAAAAAAAAAAAAAAAAAAAAAAAAAAAAAAAAAGTGCCGATGAAATGACTCCGTAGCCAACAGTGGGTAAAATCCATCTTACAGATCTCTACATTATGGCACAGGATACACAGGTTCTGTAGTTAAGTTTCAACAAGACAACCATGAGCATCTTTGTTCCAACCAATACCATCGACTCCCATTCAGTGTCATTTCTACTTTTAGAAGTTAGTTGTTTCTCAGTTGGACGTTAAAGTTAGCAGTTCTGAGCATGGACAGATCAACAGACACCCCCCGTAGCTCAGCTGACTATAAAGGCAATTTATTCCACAGTTATGTAGTTGTCAACACAGCATGGCTTTGTACAAATGCAGATGTTTCAACGGTAATAGTGAGGATTTTTTTTTATTTATTTTTCCAGATTCTCCCACCCTTACCTGACCTGTACCCTCCTGCTCCCCCCTTTAGTTTTAGCCACAACATCTCTGCCTGGTCACAGTTTTTCTTCATCAGAAAAAGTTAGTCATCCTTCACATGATTTGGAGCAGATGTATAAACACCCGGGCTGCAACTACACTTGGTCCTATAAAAAAAACAAAAGCAAAATTCAAACTGGACACATTCCAGATTGGTATATGCTGGGATAGCTACTGTCCAAAAAATGGCAGCCTTTCAAAAAAAAAAAAAAAAAAAAAACTTAACAGATGGCAAACAAAACAGTGTTAAGTGCCTGAGCCTGTTACTGTGGAATGTCCATGGATTTTGTGTAGCTGGGAAGTTTGTGATGCCGGGGTGGGAAGGGGGGATGGGGAGGACTAACTGCATCTGGATGTCATGAACTGGACTGATCCCAACCTCACTTCTATCAAAACTGATTCTGGACATTACAGCGACTCTGCCAGGAGAGGTGGGTAGTGTTCAAGAAAAGGTCAGATATGATTTAGTGTTGTCTGATTTAAGCCAAAATAATGGGGGGGAGCTAAATAATTTGGCAAGGAGGAGGTTAGTGTGGCGTTTGTTGAGGATAACATGTAGACAGTCTCCCCTCCTGGACATGGAGGAAATAAAGGAAGACATGACGAGCTTGGTTAGAGCTCAAACGCTCCAAAGGCATAGGCTGCTCAAGGAGGGAGTGTGTGTGATCTGAGAGGATTTAGTGGTGGGTACCATAAAACACAAAAGCAAGGATAGTTTACAAATTGATGCTATAGCTTTCTTTGTCTAAGTTCTGCCAAAAAATGTTTTATTTTTTTGCTGGTCTTGGTAAAGTACAGATTTGTCATGACATCCTGTTTAGCAACATGCTCATTTTTACTATGTATCAACATAAGAGTGCTTGAAAGGAGATGAGAATACACAGAGCGAATGAGGGAAGAGGTTCGAGGATAAATGGGGAGGGAGGAAAGAAATGGGGGGAGGGGGGAGAAAAGGCAGAAAAACAAACTACAAACTAGGACTGGAAGTAGTGTCAAATCCAACAGGGTGGCAAGGGTGAACTGCTAGGTAGCTGGTTACAGGTTGCTTTAGTAGCCGGCCTTCCTCAGGTAGTCCGCCATCTCAAATGCTTTCTTGTTGAGCTGTCCTCCATGGACACCCTCTTTTCCCATGACAAGAACCAATACTGGAGTACACAAAAGGACAAAAAAAAAATTGAAGCAGCATGATGAGAGCAGGGATGGGAAAATAACACTTTGTTCTACCTCTGATAAATATGAGACTATACTGCTGAGGCTGGGTCTGAGCCCTGCACCATTAAATGCTCCTGGGGGGGGTTATTTGGTGAGACTGCCTGTGTATGGTGTGTGTGTGATGGAGGGGATGCGAGCTTGACAGAAACCTTTTTTGTCCTTTTGAGCTTTGCTTTTTTTTTTTGTTTTGTGTTTTTTCCCCTTTTAATTTTTTTCCTCCCTCTAGTACACCACAAAAGCTACTTCTAATCTAAAACCCTGAATCCCTCAAGTATTTTGCCATCGAGTATGCCTTCTTATTCAATCCGCCTCCATGGACCCCTTCTTTGCCCATTACCAAGACCAAGACTGAAAGAAAAGAGACAGAAGGAACATTTAGAAGGGATGTTGAGATCACACAGGTGAAGAGAAAAAACAAGCAGAGCCAAAAAGCAGCAAGCAAGACGAACACGAAGAAAGAACCGCACGAAAAGCTGTGCAGTGCCTTTGGTTGGAAGGTTGTAGGGAGGGAGAAACCATCATTTTCTTATCAGTGCTGCTGGTGATGAGACGTATCACTACAATCAGACAGAGTGAGTAGGACATGATTAAAGATATGTTGCATGCAACCTGTTTAACAGTGTACTTTTTCGTTAGGACGAGAACAAGCGGAAGCATAGAGCAGCAGGTCTGTGCAAGGCCTAATTAAACCTCAGCATTTTCACAAGGAGTTTAAGTGACCCATTTTGTTTAAGAATGGTGCTTCAAGGGAAATGTCTGAGTATAAAAGGCCAATTCAAATTAAAACAGTTATAAAGGCAGTATTATGCATTTTCAAGCCACAGTGCTATTTTATAGCACAATCAAGTAACTGTTAACTTCAGTTATAAAAAATGCTGTATATCAAGTATGGCTTAAAAAATTTTGGACTTTGTAATTTGCCGTCTTTAAATTGAACCTCTGCCTACGTTCTACTCCACCTTCCAGAAGTCATAACAGCACACCTCCTTTAACATTTTTACCAGCATTGTATGCAATAGTACCCTGAGCTCCACAGATGCACAGTTCTACTAGGTGTTTACTAATTGCTACCAGCTAGTCTGAAGGAGCCGTGGGAGGATGCTCTGTGAGGTGGAAGATCGGAAAGTTCCGGACAGAAGCCTCACCTCAAATGAGATTAACTGATTCCTCAACACGCATGAAAAACTCAAGGCAATTCTCCAGGTGTCTTTTTGATGAGAACATTGCAACATATACTGCCCCTTTAAGAAACTAGAGATTTTGTGATTAAAGTGGTCCATGTTACTTACTAGGTACAAGTTAGTTATTACTTCATTTTTTATGTTTATTTTTGCCAAATATCCATGCACACTGCACTAATAGAGCTGCATACAAACTGAGCCAATTCAGTCAAGGATCTCAAAGTACATTAAGAAATGGTAGAGTTTAGAATCCAACATTGTGAACAGACAAATGTTAATATTTGCTGAAGCTGAACCAAAGCGAAAAATGTTATGAATTCTGGATGAAACTGGAGCATTAAAAATGGTGGTTTCATTGTTGTTAATGATTAGCAAGAAATGTTGGCATGTTTTCCCAAACATGCCAAAATACTATTCCACAATACTTCTACATTTCCTAAAACAAATGACTTTCCAATTAAACTTTAGAAATAGGAGTTTGTCTCGAGAACCTAGAACAACAAATTTATCACATTTTTATCACTTAGTTAAATTAAACACATTGCCCATTTGGGTCTTGGTGCTAAACACAGCTGTCTGCTATATTAATTACACCAGCAGCAGGGAAGAGAATGAAGCTTCTCACCAACATCACCAAAGACACATGCATGTAGCAGCATGCTTAAGGTACCTCTCCTCAATACATGTGGGCACTGTGAAGCACCCAAAGCCTTGCACAGGGGAACAGTTACTTTTTAGAGTGGGCTGTGTTAACCAGAAAAGCAGACATCGCATGCAGTTCATGGAGGCTTAAGGAAATCCTCCTCCAGAAAAGGTGGTCAGTGCATAGAAAAGAGAAATGTTTTTTCTCACCTGAAAGCATTAACAGTAGAGGAAATGGTGCAACATGGGTTCAAACAGACAACATAGAAACCGCCATGACAGACAAGTCCATAAAGGCATCTTGAATTAATTAGAGGCAACTATTTTATGCAGAATGTTTAAAAAAAAGGGGCAATAGAGAAGACCTGTTAATTTAGTAATCATTTAAGTTCACTTAAAATAGGCTACAGTCTTTGACACTAATGCTAACCAGTTTTAGTCATCACCACTACCCTAATCGGCAGACTGTTTATTTATCCAAAGACAAGTTTAAATTCTGAGTCATGAGACAAAAATCATGTACCTTTGTTTTGAGCATCAGACATGCAGTTCAAAAGGTTCACAGCTTAGATGTGCAAATATCAATTTGATATTTAACCCGTTTAATCCCACGCGCAACAACTGTTGTCAGACTTTTTTTTTTTTTTTTTTAAACTTCTGCAGAGTTTCCCCCAGAAAACTTGATAAGCCCAGTGGTAAGGCCTTAATGGAGTCGAAAACTGTTTAACATGACAGAAAATTATGAAAATATCACTAGGTAATTATGAGCTATTGGAAGACATTAGCAATACCCAAGGCAAGCAAAAAATAAAAATTATATATATACATATATATATATATATATATATATATATATATGAACTGCGGAAAAACCCTTTTCTAGAAGCTCTGGTTTAAGCTTGCTTTTGGTAGCTAATTGAAGTTTCAAAATAGGAGCTTGTCTACTCCAAGTAATATCAATTTCATGTGGCTAGAGTAAATGGTCACATGACCAAGACCTCTTTACTTCCTGTAGGTACTCCTGGAGATAAATGTCTGTCTTAGACTTGTACAACAGGAAGTCAATAAAATGCTTTAATAAACAAAGCAGAATATATTGTAAATAAGTAGTCATCTACTGATATGACAATTTTGTCCCTGCATGCATCTTTTAATAATTAGAGTAAATGTAAGCATGGCAACAACTATTGTCACTACAAACATACAACAGAGACAGCACTATGCTAGGTGTCAATGGTTTTGTCATTTATTCAATATATGTCCCCTTCCCCCCCCACACACACAGCTCAAAACTGTCTGATGTTTTAAATCTTCTAGACCTGATAGAACCTAAAAATGTCTTCTACACCACTGTTATTCCCACAGTTGAAAAAAAAAGAGACCCCACCCTGTCCCAAACAGGTAATCATTTCCACAAAGTGGAATGGCAAAGTGGCCTATGCACCGAATGACTGCTATAAGATGAAGCCATGTTTCCAGCTAGCTTAGGACAGACAGGGCCATGGTACAGTGCTTGGTCTGTTGGAACAAGGAGGAGTTCCTCCAGGATGCACATTTGTGCAGGATAACATTTTCACCTGACTTTGCTTCACTGATGAAATGACCAAATGAGGTTAAAGGTCACTTAGCACATTGAGACAATGCCATCTGCAAGATGTGGCATTTAATCTTTATGCATCTAAAACAGTTCTGAACATATTTGGAACCATCCCTCGTTATAACAAGTTATGCTTGACATTATTTTTATTTTTTTATACGTCACTAGGAACAATTGGTGGAGAGTGTAAAAACTAAATTTTTACTAGAACAACCAACATAAACTGATAAAATATAATGATTCATAAATATGTGTTAGGGAACACTTATTACACTTATTTTGCAGGGAAGATTTGGGATTAAACAGGTTAATTACACCTAAATAAACCTCAATGAAATATTTGGAAACTGACTAAATGACAATAATGGTTTAGATCAATCAAGAGAAAATTGGTTAAACATGTTCCTACTAAAAGCTGTGACATTATGAGGCACCACTAAATTCTATAAGAAAAATGTCCTTAGCCTACAGTAACGCATACATTCAGTTTAAATTTAATGTTAAGACAAAATGCCTTTCTATTCCAATAAACTTCTTAAGGTGCTACACAAAACATGTTGGAAAAACACATTTCTGCAGCAAGAACAGTTTCAGTACCGCTGTTCCCCCATCATAACAAAATTCCAAAGACAGGAAATCATACCTGTCATATATTGAGGAAAGGGTGCATTCAACACCTCCACAACATGCACTCACAACACAACTAAAGAAAATCTAGGAATACTAAATCAATGCAGACCGAAACAGAACTTTAATGCAGAAAATATGTAAACTATAGTTAATGTTGTACTCACCTTTGCCTGCTTTGCCTATAGCTATATTGTACGTTGGCTCTCCTGATTGACTCTTTGTCCGGACATCCATTGTCCAGTCCCCTTCATTTGTCAGGCTGTCTCTGAGTACTGAGCACTTTTTACTGCCTATGGTCAGCCCACTGGTGAAGAGACAATCCCGGTCCTTTCCTACCAACACGTCGATTTCTTCTGCCTAAAAAGAAAAATGTAAAGTAAATTTCTTTACTGTGACAGAGTTGATACAAGTTTTCAAACAGAAAACATTTTCTCAAGGAGACCTGATATTTAGATATTCAAGTCTTGAAATAATGTCACCTGTACTAAATTTGAATAAGGGCTAACAATAATGCTTTTATTTCCAATCCCGCAAGAGAAAGCACAAGAATTAAACACACACACACACACACACACACACACACACACACACACACACACACACACACACACACACACACACACACACACACAAAGAGAACCATGAAGTAAGGTCTGAGAAAATTAATAGCCAGATTAATTGGTAAAGTATTAAATCTTAGTGTAAACAGATAATCCTGGCTCCCAAGAACAAGAAGCTAGTCCCGCATAAAAATGGCAACTTTCAAAAAACTTAAACACCTCAAATCAAAAAGGTACAGGCCCAAAGTGCAAAGTCATGGCACTAGAGAGCTGCAGAGGGACAGGGAGGAAAAGAAGAAAAGAAATGTCTTGTTCAGATTACAATGAATACTTGCTGTAGAGACAGAGTTGATCAATTAATTAAACCAGAACTTCTGTTTTGCGATGTCAACTTGTCTCAGGCCAAAACCTTGTCTTTGAAATATAACATGTTTAAAAGGGGATTTAGGCATAACATGTTTTTTCTACTTTCAATTATTTACAATGACAGTAAAGCATATGAAAGATTTATATCTAATTTACCTGAAGACAGAAGTAATAACATGGAAAATATTCAAAATGTTTGAGTTCTGCAGTCTGATGGCTACATCACATCTGCAACTGTACACGTTAGTTACTTGGAATAACTTTTAGATTAAATGTGCAGGTTGTTTAATTTACAGATAAATCTTTCAAGTCCAGATAGATTTATATGCAGTTTGATAAAAATGTATAATATACATTTGATGACGTTTTAAAATTAGCATACAAGCGTCCGAGTACATATTATAACGACAAGCCCTATACATTGAAAGACGTCTAGAAGCGATTCTCCACTACAGGGGTGCTCAATACGTCGATCGCAGAAGGTTTTGAGTCGATCTCTGCAGTAGGTGACAAACTGAATGCCGCCAATAGGCTGAAACCTGCACGTCCTCTTCTGACGCACTGATCCAAAACATTTGTAACTTTATGAAAGAATAATAATAATCAAATTAATGATCTCAGTAATTATTGTTTCAACAAGGTGTTGCACAATTCGGTGCGTTTCAGTTCAATAAAAAAAAAAAGGCGACACAAAGATCGACTGACGAGCAGAGCAGCCGTTTAAATTAGCTAATCAACTTTCGCTGTGTTCAGGGAAGCGCTTATTAATAATCACGAAATAAATACCAAGCCTGAAAACCTAATATTATAACGGACTGAATGTCATGTTTTTAACGTAATCTCTGCTCGGCTTGCGGGGTGCAGGCGCCTGCCATGGCAACGGGTGTGCTTAAGCGACAGAGTAAAAAGGTACAATAGGTTTTGAGTTGATCACCTGTTCAGGTTATTTTACCTTTGTTTACCTTTGCTGTGGCGCATCACAGCCGCTGTAGTTTCTGAACGTTCAATAAAAGTTCATTGTTCAATAAATGATGAACGTTCAAACTTGGACTAATTACCCCGTTCGTTTGTCATTCACACCAAACATCAAATAGGACAAATATATTTCATTAAGTAACAAATGGCTTCTACCGCCATAATTATGTGAAATTAAGTTGT